CTTTTTTTTACTTTGCCACGGATTTTCCTTTCTTTCTAAAAACTTGATCCTATAATAAAAATTTTTTGGCTTTAAAATTTGTCTGTTTTGAATAACGGGGGTATTCATTATCCACAGACGAATAATTAAACCTTTCGACTACTTCCATTTATTCTGGACTACAAATAAACGACCGTTCTGTATCTTGACATTTAAGAACTTAAAAAAAGTTCAAAACTCTTTATGGCAGAACTTCAAGCCACTATCCATTCTAACTTACGTAACTTTTACTCTTACCTCTCGTTGCACTTAAGATTAATATCTTTTAAAGTAACCAAAAGCTTTTCATTTAAATGTAACCAAAATACATTCATACTTGCCGGGAATAGTTATCTTGCAGTAAATATAGATATAAATATTCATTATCAACTATACGTTTTATTGCACTTGGTCCCCCCAAAGAACCGTAAACACCCTTTCTCCTTATCACTTTCAAATCTTAATTCGTAGAATTCATCGATTTGCCTTACTAAAAGTAGTCGGGACTTCGTTCAAAATTCAACTTAAAAATGCTCTATGCTTACTTGTATTTTACACCAATTGTGTGCGATATTAAAGCCTTGTATTCTAATTTCATTACTTTGCTCTCTTTGCTTTCGAAGAAAAACTACTCGTTTCTCTTTTACTGTTCTTCACAGCTTTTAGCTTTGAAAGTAATAAAATCTGCGATACTATGATCCATTACAAGAATTACATATCTTGCTATCATTGCACTTCATTAAATTCGTTCACCTTGAGTAAATATATACTCGAAAAAATTCTTTATTTTCTCTCTCATCTGCATATTGCATCTTTCTTCTGAAATTTACTTTTTCTTTAGCTGAGTGAAAACATTCTTGAGGCTCATAGCCTTTTTGGAATGAGTGAGTGAATATATATATATATATATATGAATTATATTAGTGTAAAAATATGAGGTATACGTACCAGTAGTACTCCAAGTAACAGAAATAGTACATGTGAATGGAGATAAGAATAAATATTATGCCTTTTTCCAAAAAAAAAAAAAGACAGAAGCTTTTAAAAATAAGACAAATTCACTTTCGGTAACTTTTTAGATTTTCATAACGATCGTGAAACAGATCATTTCGATGATCTGGACGTGTGTGAATACTCGCCACGTGTTGCTTTTAAATTCCAACAAATTATCGTCAGCTTCAAACACTTTCTTTAGTACTCCGTGATGAGTGGAATAGAATTCAGAAATATTAGCAACATTAAGAGTGACATTTATTAATATTTTTTATACCGTCACTAAGAGAGCATACACTTGACGCGATTTTAGCTTGTGAAACGAAAATAAGTATCAATTGATTTGTTAAAAATAAGACAATAATAAACAAATGAGTAATGGAAAATAGTCTTTGGTGTGGAAAAATAAGTCCCTTAAAATTCACGTAGCAGCTTGGCGCTAAACCTAGCTGATCCATATGGGATGAGACGTTTACTATTATTTTGGAACTTTCTGGTAATTTTCATATATTTTAAGATCAGCTGCTTTTCTTTGATTCTATGTCCTATTATCGAAAGATTCGAGTCTTGTCATGTGTCATTTTCAGCTGCTTGTATAATCTCCTAAGAGGATAGAATACTATATCATTGTGTGATGAAACAGAAGTTTAATTGTGTAATTCTAACTGGATTACTCAAAAATATTTCTATACAGAGAATTATTTGGATTTCCTTTAAAATATGATGTATACACTAACCCTTTATGTACCGACGGTACTTATAAGTACCACTCACTTAAAAATTAACTAATTTTATGAATACTCTGACGATACTTAGCAGGAATATTCTTTTAAACCCTATCTACCAAGATATATGGCAGTACGGGTACATTGATGAGTATTTTAGCGGAGAAGACGAATAGCTTTATAGCAGAAATTACTTTTACAGTGGATAGTGAAGATTGTCATTTTTGTTCCAAATTTTAGTTGATGTTAAAAGGGTCATCTTACTTGTTTTGTATATTGATGAAGACCTTTGAAAATGATTTGACTATTTATTAAAGTGAACAGTATATATAACTAATTTTACAGTTGAATATCTCTTTAACTCATTAATTAGCTCTAACGGATTAAATTTCTGAAAGTTAAGTATTTTGTTTATGTATATCCCTTAATATTCAATGAAGTAATACAAAAAGATATTGCATGAAAAAAAAACCTGCAGTAAATCATAATGCGGTAGATAAAGGGTTAAATATTAGGAATAATAGAATGTCATTATTAAAAATGCGGTAGTCAGCGCCGTCTATAAACTTTTCTTATCTCTTAGTTAAGATTGCTTGGAAAAGAAAATTGCTAGTTTAATTAAATATGTATCAAAACTTGGTACATTTTAACTAGGCTGGTAAGGACATTAAATCGTGAAATCTCTATCAGTCCTAAAGGGAATTTTATGAATGCCATATTATATGTCATTCTTTAGTCGCTTCCAATAATAATTGAATAACAATGACAGAGACCTTTAGGCAAATAGCTTTCATTTGCTTATATTTTGTCTGCTGTCGTCAGGTATTCCCTTAGTGAAATTTCTGCAAGACTAATCTAAATATCATAGAAATTTACGAAATTTTTTTGAATATGATTCTGTATACATATTTAAAAATTCAATTAATTAATTAGTATATATAATTGTCACATAACGATTCACTAGATTAAGTTACTTGATTAAAAATACAGTTTTAACATTATTTGAAATAATGTTTGAATTGCAAAACTCGTATGTCTATTTTTCAAGCATTCAGTTAAAGAGTATTTATATATATTTCTTTAATTCTCCAATAATTATAATTTAATATTTAAAAATGTATGGAATTAAAAGAGAGTTATGTGCTAAATTGACAGAATTCTAAAGGTTAAAAGTTAAGAAGTAAAAAAAAAAATAACATAAAACATTTAACTTTGTAAATGTCTCTTATTTCTGTATTTATGAAAACTTAGGAACAAATATAACTTATTTTTAATCTTGTTTCGCTAATCGGTTCTGAATAAGAATATTTACATTGTAGTAAAAGTAATAAATATGGTCTCATATTTTAATAAGATAATTTAGTTTGTTATAACTAGATCAGCTCATTACGTTGAAATACTAATTAGATTCGCAAAATTGCTGATGCAGGAAATACTTTTTCCAAATATGATGAATGAAAAGAAGTTAAACTTGAATCTCTATTCATGTGACTAAATTCAATTAATTTCATTGAAATTTTGTTTGATTTACTTATTAATATAAGAAAGGGAAGCGTATTTTGGAAGTAGAGAGTAGCTGATAAATTTTATTTTGAGAATTACAACAGGAGTTAACTCATTAATAAATGATAGAAAAAAGTATTTGTGCAATATTAAAGGGTACAAAGAAAAAAAAAAGGTTTTGATAAAGGATACAAAAAAATATCAGAATTTGTAATCTTAATTCAATCTAATTACGAAACAAAAAAAAAAAAAAAGAAGCTAAACAAGAAATATATATAAAAAAAACTTTTTAAGTCAATTTCCACTTAGATTCCTACAAAGAAAAATTTTATTTTTTAGTCACTTTATTATTAAATAATTACAATTATATATAATATAAAGACGTATATACATAGGACAGAATCAGAATATTAACCCTCTAAGCGGTCTGCACTTAAAGTCTTGCCATTCTGGAGATGCTTCAAAAATGCACCGCACATATTTTTTTGCTTTCAGGTGGGGTTCTCAAAAGCGGTTGAGAGCCATATTTTTAAGAATTCGGCTCGGCCGCTTTTGAAAATCTTGCTTGAAGGCAGAAAAAGCATCTCTGGAATGGCGGAATTTTACGTGCAGACCGCTAGAAGGGTTAAGTGGCAAAATAGAAAGCGATTTTCCTTCCTATATATGGTGTCTCTCTTCTACTTATTCATTAATTAAATTTAATTCTTTCAATAAAACAATAAAGAAAGAATAAATCACATTCTTAGAAATTAGGCCATCCCATGTGGGATTCGAACCAACGGCCTTTGGATTACAAGTCCAACGCGCTATAAATTGCGCTACAGAGACAAACCGAGCAATTTTCCTTTTTATACATGGTTTTGGGCTAATATTTTTGTTTCTATTTATTCATTTTTAAATTTGATGAATTAATATTTGAATAAACTGTAATAACATCAAGTGTCATAACTGCAATTTTAAAAAATGCATTTGAAATTGAGTAGATGAATAAAAGGTATTTTTTAACGACTGAAAATTTGAATAACATATATATATATATATATATATATATATATATATATATATATATATATACAGAGAGAGAGAAAGAACTAATAGTATAGAAATTCAAAACACTGAAATATATTTATTTAACCACTTAAAGTTTTCATTTCCTATTGTCGCTAATTAATGGTAAATTTTATTTCATTGAATATGTGGTACACTAAAAACTATGTTTTTCAAATGTGAACTATATTTTCGTTATTTAAAGTGATCAACTAATCCTTATATCATATTTGAGTGAAGTCAAATTGAGACACATACCTACTGCATGAATTACTCTACTGCACTTAAATATATCTCTTAATTCTTTTCCTAAAAGCAGCATTGAACACAATTCAATGGAGAATCACTTGGTAATTAATATCTATGAAAAGAAAAAAAGATAGCCCTGAATAGAGTTTACTTATAAATATTGTGAAAAAAATGTATGAGAGTAAAAGAAGAGCTGGGCCCGGCCGGGATTTGAACCCGGGACCTCTCGCACCCAAAGCGAGAATCATACCCCTAGACCACCGAGCCACGATATGTGGTCTAAAAATATTTATGACAACGTGTACTGAAAAGTAGATTAAGAAGTTCTTCCGAATGTAAATATATGGTCAGCTGTATAAACTGTAAACATGATCTGAAAAATGAATAGATTCGATAAAATAATGTATATGAGAGTATATGTATTCTAATAGAAATAGTCATTGCAATTGAGAAAAAAGTAATGATTTGAATTATTTAAACATGAGTTTTGAGTTTCCTGAAATATCAAAATAGATAATTACATTAGTTTAATGCTAGTTATAAGGTAACACACACACATATTTTCTCTTTGATACATATTCAGTTAATTTCTATTTTTGTATATCATATATTTCATTACTGAAATGCGAATAATTACATCCTGCATATTGATAGACAACATTTAAGAACTAAAGAAACACCTTATTGCGTGAAAATCATCAGTTGCTGAATATCATATTTACAGATGTGATGTTCTCAAAATATTGTAAGATTATTGCAGAAAATGTTTATTTTGAAACTAATTACAAAAAACGTATCGCTTTAGAACATGTGATTTGAACAAATATTTGTACAATTTATGCAAACGATGCATCAAACTTGCTAAAATATTTTCAATTCTACGATAAATCTACTGAGAAGCTTAATACCACTTTCTACACTATGGGCATACTGTTAACATCATTATCCAGAAGCAATTAAAATACTTTTCCCCAATTATCTTTCAATGTATGGATGAAGAATCCCTCATCTGCTTGAAGCTGATGTGAAGCAACAAGATGCCTCAATAAGGTATCCCAAATGTTAGCAATTGGATTTAAATCATGGAAATCTGGTGACCAAAGTAGATATTACGAGGTTTTGTTGTCTAGTTAGTCCTTGACAGTACCTTGTATTGATACCTGACGTTATTCTATCAATAATAAAATACATTAAGAAACGTACATAGAACAACATAACTTCCTTAATGTATTCTTGACTGTTTTTAGTTTCAGCTGGCATCCCTTACAGCTGTGTATAGCATTTAGCAGCCACATGAAAGCAATATTTTTCATTATTCATTACTAAATTAATTATTTAATAACAAAATATTACATTGTCTTGTTTTTTGTGTGTGTGGATAAAACTAGATTAGTTTTGTAAATTATTAATTGAAAATAGAAATTTGAAGAAAGAACTTATTCTTAGGAAAAACAGTTTCATACTCGAAAAAGCCTGTGCAACGTCTGTTATACACAGAGTGAAAAGTGACATGTCTGCCAAAGAAAAGAAGTGGAATTAATTTCGGAAATGAGAATTTTAATGACACAAATCCAGAAATTCCTCACATCGTGCATACACTCGCCTTTCCCAGAAGTGCTGGAATTGGTAGCAAAAGAGGAAATTTCCATGGAAATAAAATTATGCACTCAGGAAAAGCCCGTACAACGCCGGGCTAAGCAAAGGGGAAACAAGAGGTGGAAGAAAATTCGAAAATGAAATGTTAACGAAATTGATATAGAAATCTCACACAGACTGGAGGAAGTGATGGCGCCGATACAGGAAGGGTATTTTTATGAGCAAAATCTTATACACACGAACAAGCCCGAGCAACACCGCGTGCCGCAGCTAGTTGTGCTTTTAAGACCATAACGGTGTCTTTAATGAATATCATTGCATTCATCAGCCCTGTTATTCTCCCACTTGATAAACAGGTGTCTACATTCAGATAAAAGACTGAATCTACTCTTATGTGAATAGGGTGCATATATGTTTTTTCGATAGTATCCAACTGTGCTACTATGTTACCACAATGCAAATGGAAACTATGCTGCTTTTTTTTAACGCACTTAATAGGAATTCGAGCGTATAATCTTGCTTGTCACAAGAATACAATTTCTGAAAACAATTTTATGTGATAGCTGGGTATTAAGGGCAGCATGAAATCACAGTACCAGCTGTGAAACGAATAGTTCTGTAAGGCAGTGGATTTTAAAATTTATATATATTACGATTCTTTTTCACTTTAAGAGAAGCCTCAAATTAGTACCACTCCAGTGGCATTATCCTATATTCGAAAAAATAGTTACCCGAATAAAATCCTTTACATCTGAGTTGAAGTGAAATACGATAACATTAATGCTAAATTATTAAACTTTTTTATATTAAAGTGTGTATTTTTATTCAAATATTTTCTGCTCTGAAATATAAATTGTTGTTAATTTATTTGCGCCTATCTTTGTGCTAATTCGTGCTCAGCTGGGCAGAAAGTATCTTGTAAAAAAAACTCTATTTCTAACCATTCTTGTAAAGACGATATATCTAGCAATCGTAACATTATTCCTTAAGCCTTTGGACAGAGCCTTTGGACAGAGGTTTGAGCTATATACAGGTAAAATATTAATACAATAGAAGCATTTTTTACAAAAGGAGAACATTTTGAAAAAAGGTTATTCTAAGTTAATTTTTTGCCAAAATATTGTATTTAAATAATTTTATTTTGTCATAATGTCCTTAGAACAATTGTATACATGTATTCTAATCTAAGTGACACTAAATATCATGAAAATTATCCATTTATGCGCTTTTTTGACATCATGGTTCCGAACGTAGTCGGATAACTTAAGGGGAAGTTCTCAGCACACACTTGAGACACATTCCAACTGATGGTTTGATTGATTGCATATTGAAGAAAATGCATTAATTGCATTTCATAAGACAATTCAAAACAATGGCTATTGGTGGAATCTCCAAGAAGATAGAGTTTGTTGTTAAGGTTTGTGACGGGGCTTTACGAGACCCTTATTAACTAATCCTCTTGGAGAATCTTTGAGCTAGCATTCGCAATTAATTCACAGCTATTCCTCTCAAGAAGAAACCCTGATATGTAAATTAGTTAGAGTATATAATGTTAGAGTTTGGTAATTGTAAGGCAGATGGAGCAGAGCATCTGAATGTAGCGTAATTAAGGTGAGATTTAAGATTTACGCAACTTGACTTTAGGACGGAGTTTTGATACTATACTAAATTAGTGGATCAGGAATAGATAGGTTAGGATTGTGTGATTAAGGTTAAACTGATCTGATTGCAAACGGTTATTCATTTAGGGTTGTTGCTTTCTTTATTTTACTCCTATGGCTTCCTTTTGCAGTTTATTTTGTGGTCAACTAGTACAATTGAATAATAATAGATTAGATTTATCATGGAGTGTTCTGGTCAAGCTTCGTTCCCCTATACATCTTTAGGTAGGCAGGACAATGAGGAAGCGACTTCAGGGGGAAGTCGCTTACAGGTTGCAGATGCTTATATATCAGCACATCAGGATACAACTAACCACACATTCAGCTATTATTTAGATTACTTTTATTTGCAGGAAAGTGAGATTTTATACAGTTTGTTTGAAATGGAATTTTATAGTTTCAATATCGAAAGGCATAGCAAGAAAATGTTTTTTGTACATCTTATCTTTTCATAAGGAAATTAGTGTGGTAAGAGCTTTTAGCAAGGAAACTCATTTGAATTGGTTATGAGATGAGGACGGTAACTTTAAAATTCAAAATACCACAATGTGAGTAGTTTGAATCTGGATTGATTTAATAGGCATCCGTGTGAGGTTCTTTAAACGGTAGGTCTTTAAAGGCGCCAGTGCTGGAAATCGTGACTCATCCGAAACAGCATCGGCTACGAACTTTTGTCCATGACCAGATACAATGACTTTTACCTTTTTTGATATAATGTTCAAGGTTTGAAAATCACACTATGAGCAAATTTGCACTTCATAAAAACATCCTTTTTTCCCCTTTTCATCAAAAGCATTCAAATATATATATATATATATATATATATATATATATGTTATTAGATATATATATATATATACATATATATATATATATATATAAGTAGTATATATGCGCATAAGTTGTTGCTACATACATATTACATATGTTGTTGCTGCTGTTGCTGTTGCTAAGGTTGCTATGTTGCTGTTAAGGAAAGGCTGTTGGCAGCATATGTTGCTGTTGGCTATGTTGTTGTTGGCAGTGAGCATACAAGGTTGGCTGTTACATACATTACAAGGCTATGCTGGAAGGCTGTTGCTGCTGTTGTTAAGGACACAAGGGAGCAAGGCTAAGGCTGCCACATGTTGCTGGTTGTTACATACATGTTGAAGGCATGCTACACACAGCAGCTGGTTGCTGTTGTTGCTGCTGGCTATACAGTTGGGCTGCCATTGCTGCTGCTTGCTGCTGGCTGCTGCTGGTTGGCTGTGCTATAGCAGTTGCTGCTGGTTG